AAAGAGGGAGGAGAAGAAGAGGAAGAGGAGGAGGAGGAGAAAATCTACATAGAATTAGTCACATTCTGTCTTCTATACTTGTAAATGTTTCAGGTAAACTTTGAAATTCACATTAGTTTATATCCACGTAGGTTGGAACAAAAGGAAAACTTCAAAAGCTATATAATATTTGAATGAAAAAAAGGCCTTTCAACTTTTTTCTTTTAAACTAGGTAATAGGGTTTAATAAAACTAACAGAATGTAAGTTTTCATTTCTCTAACGAAAGACTTGTCATAGCTAGTTATTAAGACTATAACCTAATGCACAAATGAATATTCTTTTTGCCCATTTCAAATGTATTGTGATCTGATAAATTACATATGATTACATTATTACTATTTAATATAATAGTCCATATATTTCATCATCAAGCAGAGAAAAATCACTATATAGTCAATATACACATACAATAAACATCTGGCAGTTTCAAATTTCACATCCTGTCTTCAACACCAACTAGAGTCTCTAGAGTCATATGGATAGTACTTAGTAAGAAAAATATTATTTTTACTAGTGGAAGAAAATGAGCATAAAAACGAGAGGAGTCTTTTTTCATCTATTCAAAAGGTAAGATCAATGAGGTCTACACCACAGCTAACAAAGAGGTCATTACTATTATGGAGGGAATGTGAAGTGTCTTATGTTGATGTGATACCGTTTTCACTGCAGATGGGACCACTGTATAGACATTGCCCTCACCTGATCTATCTGTAGAATCTTCAAATTCCACGAGGAAAGAGTATCCATTATTCCAGATGTGCAGGCAGGTGGCTGGGTCATAAGAGATGGTGAGTGGTTTTAAGCCAGGATCGTAAATGCTGTCCTTCCACCGGATGTTAATGGGCGACTGTCTATCACCTGCCGGAACAAGGTCCATGCTTTCCCAGAGAGGATGCACTAGGAGAGAGCAGGGCGGGGCTGTTAGCAAGACCATCCACTATCTAGCATCACACAGGAGGCAGTCAACTCGGGGGAACCCACAGCAGCCAGTGGCAACTAAAGATCCTAGAAATTAGCTATTTAGTGTCTTGGTCAACTGCCTAAAGCAAAGGATAAAAGCATACCAGGAAAGATCTTTTTCTTTTTCTGGTTTTTGAGACAGAGTTTCGCTATATAGTTTAGTCTGGCCTCAAACTCACCGTGATCCTCTCCTTCAGCCTTTGAGTGCTGCGATTACAGGTGTGTTCCACCATGCCAGGCCTCAGAGAGTATCTAATGGGGAGTCATTATACTGTCTTCTTGTAGAACTAATACATCTCAGTCTGTCCACTAATGTTCCCTAAACCCAGTGCCATCATTACTGTCAAACAGCAAGATGAAAGATTAGTGCCACGTGGAAGCAGGAATTTCACAAGAGTTTATTCATTTTCTTGCTGATTTCCTGAGCCCCACCCCCCAAAACTGCTTTTTTAATTAATTTATTTATTTATTAATTTATTTTAAATTTGGTACAGTGATGGAACTCAGGACTTTGTGCTTGTAAGGCAGAGGGTGGAACACTGAGCTAAATCCTGGGCCCTATTTTTTTTTGGTACCAGGAATCGAACTCAGGACCTTGTGCTTGCCAGGCAGGCAAGGTGCCACTGGGATAAACCACTGGCCCAGAACTGGTTTTAAATACAAAGTCAATTTAATTTTCAGTGGCAGTCTTTATTTTCTTTTTCTTTCTTTCTTTCTTTTTTTTGTACTGGGGATTGAACTCAGGACCTTGCACTTGCAAGGCAGGCGGCAGAATCACTGAGCTAAATCCCGGCCTGTCAGTCTTTTTTTCAACAAAAGAAATGGGGTAGACTTTTTAGAAAGCAAATTTTGAATCAAGTACTGTCAGTTTTCAATTGGTTGGTTAGTAGAAATAAAGACGTGCTCAGCTTGCCTCCTGTAAGATGCTCACACCATATAAGTGTACCTGCTGAGTTTACCTGTATGAATTCAAACTCTGAGAATTAGGGAGCCCCCTGTAAGATCTGGGTAGAGCATCAGCATTGCTAAACTTCCCTGAGTTCACAATCTGTCACACAAATGTGGGTGTGATCTATTACAGTGACCACATGCAGTTTGTCTCATACAGACACTGATGATCTCTGATGATTTTCTTCCACAGAACACAAAGTCTTCTTGGCAAGCCCCTGATAAATATCACCAGAATTCGTATTAGACGCACCTGTTGTGACACCCAGGTGCAATGAACAGAACTCACATTTATCAAGTTGGGGTGATCTAGTTCTCTGCCATTTAGAAGCATCCCAGATGGGTAGAATCAAAGCCAACAGGAAAATTAGGAGAAAAGTAAATCAACAGAAGTTATTACCAATAACCTTTTGCATTTTGCCCCACCAATAAAAATGAGTCTGATAATGACTAACGTAGCTGTTTTACCATCCAGCCAAGTCCTCTGTATATGTCCTGGTCATCCTCCTATTTCCAGAGAAACAGAAACCTGCCTTGGCCTTACTCTGGTGGAGGAAACAGTCTACTTCCTTTGGTAGTTGCCCAACCTTGAAGTCAAGATCTTAGCCTTGGTTTTTATTTTTGTTGTTCTTATGGTTTTGTTTGGGGTTTGTGTTACACTTCTGCAAACATGTCCCAGCAGTATAGACATATAGCTCTCTAAGTGTGCAGACCAGTGATTCTCAACAGAAGGAGTGATTCAGCACCGAAGGGACATTTGGCAATGACTGTTTTGTATGACAAAACTGGGCGCAGGTGCTACTGTCCTCTAGCGGCTGGAGGCCAGAGATACTGATAAACACCCTTCCCTACATAGAATAGTCAGGCTTCCCACAAGCAAGAATTACCCTGCCCCAAATGACCATAGGGTCAAAGTTGAGAAGCCCTCCTCTAAAGCTAAAGAGCTATATGAAAACCCATAGTATTTTTATTTCTATTTTCTTCATGTAACACAGTTGCCTCATTTCTGGAAAGGTCTGAACCCAATGTTTTGGAATTTTTTTCTCCTTAGTATAAAAGAACTAGTAAAGAACAAGAGTTTACTTTAGAGAATAATGAGCACCTTCTGTTTCAGAATTACAGTACACTGTGGAAAATGCACATGAACTGCCACAATACCATCACTGTAATCTGATTAGAAGGTAACCTGGTTGCTTGGTGTTGTGGTGCATGCCTGCAATTCCAGCACTTTGGAGACTGAGGCAGGAAGACAGCTGATAGATGGAAGCCAGCCTGGGCTACATAATGAGTTCAAGACCAGCCTGAACTACTTAGTAAGACTCTGTCTCCAAAAAACAAAACAAAGCAAACAGAAAACAAAACCAAAATGCAACCTCATGAGCAGGAGCTTCCTTTTTTGTTGGCCTGTACTACTTTATTAAATATATGACCTTTGATTTTTGATAATCCAGCTGCTACTGTTGGGGAGTAAGCTATATTTGATTCAAATTGTCTTTATTTTTAAACTTCTAGAAAACCTTAATAGCTCTGATTTAGTTTCAAAGATTCCCCCCCCCAAAAAAAAACCAGAGACCGCAACAAAGAGGGTCTCCTGTGAAGTCTAAAGAAGAGCTAGAATGGCGATCAGGTCCCTAAGATGATGCTCTCAGATATCCTTAACTGTTCACCACTTCGTTCAGGAAATAGTACTAACTCTGACTCCCATGCAACACCAGCCCAAGGAGCCTGGGCCAGTTTCATCAGCTGCCCATTTACGGCCCTAATGCTACTGTCTGTTTCTGCCCCTGTGTTTACAAGTTCAGTTTCCAGAAAGTTCTCTTTTCCCCCTCCCATCTTCATTGCTAACCTAGGCCACCTCCTGCTGGGTGGAAGGACTTGGTCACTGTCCTCTTAATGAAGCCAGCTTTTTGCCAAGGGCTTGTTTTCCCAAAGATAAATTCACACTTCTATTCCCTCCTCCTCTTCCTCATTTAAACAAAAAAGCAGATTGAAAAATTTCCTAGTAGTTGCTCATATCTTCCCTCAAAGGAAGATGATTATGTGTTCTAACTAACAGAGACTTTATTTTCAGATGTTTCTTATGCAGGGAAAATGAGAGTGATTGTATGAACTATGTCTTAAGTGAGTTAATTCATGCTGCTATGAAGAGTCCATAGCTGATGAGCAGCAAAAGTGTGTTGAGGATATGCTTGGTCTTAATTCTTGGTCTTTGTTCTTAGTAGTCTCAGCTTTGATTTATTTTGTGCTCTGGCACTGTCTTTGTCTGTTTGGGCTACAGTAACACAATATCATAAGCTGAGTGTCTTATAAACGAGAGAAACCTATTTTCACAGTAGTGGAGTTTGGGAAACTCCAGATCACGAAGCTACAGATTTGGTGTCTGGTGAGGGCTGATTCATGGTTGAGACAGCTGTCTTGCAGCTGTATCTTCACATGGTGGGAAGGGCAGGGAGCTCTCTTGAGTAGTACAGGGCATTAGACTCAATCGTGGAGCCTCTGCACTCATGACCTATTCACATCCCAAAGACCATCCCTGCTAACACCGTCATCTTGGAGGTTAGGATTTCAACATAAGGAGTTTTAGAGGGATACAGGTATTCAGTTCATTGAAACACCTATTTCTCAAGCCTTGACTGCCCCTCTCTCAACCCCTGAAAGACAGAAAGCCCATTCCTGCTTTAAACCCTTCTTCCTTTAGAGAAATCAATTTCTCCTCATTAAGCTTAGAGATAGTTGAGCTTGCTTTAGGTCTTGGGCTTAACTGTCACCTCCTCAAATTGGTGTTGAAACATCTACCCCAAGGTGAGAGTATGAGGAGGAGTGGCCTTAGGGAGGTACTTGGGTCAGGAAGGTGCAGCCTCATGAAAGAGATGAGTGCCTTTACCAAAGAGGCCCCAGGATATTCCCTGGCTCCTTCCACCAGGTGAGTGATACAGGCAAAAGGAACCATTTTGAAAGCAGGAAGCCTCCACCAGACATGAAATCTGCCAGTGCCTTAGCTTTGGCCCTCTCAGCTTTCAGAACTAGGAGCAAGCAATTTCTGCTGCTTGGAAAGCACTCAGTCCCAGGTATCGTGTTATAGCAACTCGAACGCATTAAGACAGTTCAGGTCTCCTTTTCGCTTTATTTCCAGTTGTGTAACTGATGACCACATTCTTTCAGGGTCATTCCTGGGCTACATAATGAGTTCAAGACCAGCCTGAACTACTTAGTAAGACTCTGTCTCCAAAAAACAAAACAAAGCAAACAGAAAACAAAACCAAAATGCAACCTCATGAGCAGGAGCTTCCTTTTTTGTTGGCCTGTACTACTTTATTAAATATATGACCTTTGATTTTTGATAATCCAGCTGCTACTGTTGGGGAGTAAGCTATATTTGATTCAAATTGTCTTTATTTTTAAACTTCTAGAAAACCTTAATAGCTCTGATTTAGTTTCAAAGATTCCCCCCCCCAAAAAAAAACCAGAGACCGCAACAAAGAGGGTCTCCTGTGAAGTCTAAAGAAGAGCTAGAATGGCGATCAGGTCCCTAAGATGATGCTCTCAGATATCCTTAACTGTTCACCACTTCGTTCAGGAAATAGTACTAACTCTGACTCCCATGCAACACCAGCCCAAGGAGCCTGGGCCAGTTTCATCAGCTGCCCATTTACGGCCCTAATGCTACTGTCTGTTTCTGCCCCTGTGTTTACAAGTTCAGTTTCCAGAAAGTTCTCTTTTCCCCCTCCCATCTTCATTGCTAACCTAGGCCACCTCCTGCTGGGTGGAAGGACTTGGTCACTGTCCTCTTAATGAAGCCAGCTTTTTGCCAAGGGCTTGTTTTCCCAAAGATAAATTCACACTTCTATTCCCTCCTCCTCTTCCTCATTTAAACAAAAAAGCAGATTGAAAAATTTCCTAGTAGTTGCTCATATCTTCCCTCAAAGGAAGATGATTATGTGTTCTAACTAACAGAGACTTTATTTTCAGATGTTTCTTATGCAGGGAAAATGAGAGTGATTGTATGAACTATGTCTTAAGTGAGTTAATTCATGCTGCTATGAAGAGTCCATAGCTGATGAGCAGCAAAAGTGTGTTGAGGATATGCTTGGTCTTAATTCTTGGTCTTTGTTCTTAGTAGTCTCAGCTTTGATTTATTTTGTGCTCTGGCACTGTCTTTGTCTGTTTGGGCTACAGTAACACAATATCATAAGCTGAGTGTCTTATAAACGAGAGAAACCTATTTTCACAGTAGTGGAGTTTGGGAAACTCCAGATCACGAAGCTACAGATTTGGTGTCTGGTGAGGGCTGATTCATGGTTGAGACAGCTGTCTTGCAGCTGTATCTTCACATGGTGGGAAGGGCAGGGAGCTCTCTTGAGTAGTACAGGGCATTAGACTCAATCGTGGAGCCTCTGCACTCATGACCTATTCACATCCCAAAGACCATCCCTGCTAACACCGTCATCTTGGAGGTTAGGATTTCAACATAAGGAGTTTTAGAGGGATACAGGTATTCAGTTCATTGAAACACCTATTTCTCAAGCCTTGACTGCCCCTCTCTCAACCCCTGAAAGACAGAAAGCCCATTCCTGCTTTAAACCCTTCTTCCTTTAGAGAAATCAATTTCTCCTCATTAAGCTTAGAGATAGTTGAGCTTGCTTTAGGTCTTGGGCTTAACTGTCACCTCCTCAAATTGGTGTTGAAACATCTACCCCAAGGTGAGAGTATGAGGAGGAGTGGCCTTAGGGAGGTACTTGGGTCAGGAAGGTGCAGCCTCATGAAAGAGATGAGTGCCTTTACCAAAGAGGCCCCAGGATATTCCCTGGCTCCTTCCACCAGGTGAGTGATACAGGCAAAAGGAACCATTTTGAAAGCAGGAAGCCTCCACCAGACATGAAATCTGCCAGTGCCTTAGCTTTGGCCCTCTCAGCTTTCAGAACTAGGAGCAAGCAATTTCTGCTGCTTGGAAAGCACTCAGTCCCAGGTATCGTGTTATAGCAACTCGAACGCATTAAGACAGTTCAGGTCTCCTTTTCGCTTTATTTCCAGTTGTGTAACTGATGACCACATTCTTTCAGGGTCATCTCTTCCTTGCGTTGCCCATGACCACCAGCCTAGCTGAGGCCCCGGCACCCCGGCTTCGTGCTGAATCTCTTGATGGCTTTCCCTGTTCTCTCATGTCCCCAACTCATGTGCTCCGCCACTCGGCAGTCTCGCTAAATCACCACCTTCATCATGTGTCCAACCTAACAACTGTACATCACGCCCTGACTCCTGCATCCAAGGCCCGAGGCTTCCTATTCCAACCCGCCTCGGGGTCTCATCTCCTTCCTCCTCTTCCTTCCCAAGCTCTGGTCTCCCCCTGCTGTTGCCCTTGGTCAGTCCAAAGCAAGAGACTCTGGAAATGGGAAGCAGCCACAGGCTATGAGCACAGGGTACAAAGAATGTAAACCTGCTCGTGAGTAATCCTTACACTGATTACATGTGAAAATGACAGTACTCTGAATATAGTGGATTAAATAAAATTACTACTATAATCAATTTCACTTCTTTCCCCCCTTCCTACCCTATTAGAAAAATCAGAATTACCTCTGTGGTTCATATTACGCACCTATCAGGCAGCACTGCTTTATACCCTGGTTTGCTTATTACCTGATACCTCACTCCATTTTTCCCTTTTCATGCAGGATACGCTATTTCCATAACTGAAGGCCATGTTTGGAGGCCTTGTCCTTAGTGCAGTGACACCATACACAGGGACACTCCCAAGGAGTGTGCTGAGGATAATCACAGAATTACAAATGGCCTATCATCATGAAAATGTTCAGATTTAAATATCCAAAGGAGGTGCCGAGCTGATGATGATGGTAAAGATGATGAAAATGATTCCATCTCATGAGAAGCAGCAATCAACACAGTGTGAGGCAGGCACTAGCAAAGGATTCTGCGTGTCACCTCTTCTAATCTTCAGCAATCTTGGGTCATGCTTGGTCACCATGTACCTCAGGCCTCCCCTTGGGCTACTGGGCTGCCAGGAACAATGACTGCTGTCTTTACCACGAAGCAAGTGAGGACAGCAGAACTGGAAGTGCTCAGGGGACAGCAAAGACGATGATATTCTCCCCGGTGCAGACAGGCAGGGGCAGCATAAGATGCCAAAAACCAAATTCATGATCACTGTGCCCTGTTCTTCCAACCAGCTCAGAAACAACAACGTGTTACATGATGTGGGAAATTAATCAAGTGAAGCTGCCACCTCCCCAAGCCACTACTGCTTGCTTTTTGTCAGCAGTGAAAGGAGCGAACTGCCCGCAAAATACAAGCATACAGGATTTTAGATGTTTAACTTTCAACTTTCTGTTAGAAAAGAAAGCTTTAGTAACTAGATAAGTATGACTAATTTTTTCCATTTTAAGCCTGAGACCACAAAATGCCAGAGTTCAGAAGAAGCCCATGTGGGCATGCTCACGGGAAGCCACACCTAACAACCAGAAATTTATTATGACTCCAACTAGTTTATTTTTAATGAGAATACAGTCAGTCTTGAGGAAAGAAGATAAACTCACAGTAACAACATATTTCTGTAGTAGCTTCCAGCCCTTGGATTTGGTTGGATTAACATTACTAATTTATAAGCATCCTCTTCTCGATTCTTTTTATTATGTACATACATAGTCAAAGAGTAAACAAAACATGGAGAATACTAAAGCTCAGCGTTCGTCAACAGTTGAAATTTCTGTGTCAATTTTTGTTTTGTTTTTTTTGTTGTTGTTGTTGTTTTTTTGGGTTTTTGATGTAGTCGAGACTGACCTGGAACTCACTGTGTAGCCCAGGCTGGCCTCGAACTCACAGCGATCCTCCTGCCTCAGCCTCCCGAGTGTTGGGATTACAGGCTCATTTATTTTTAAATAAAGGAAAACAAAAAATATCTCTTTAATGATATTCTTAGCCCCTTCCTCTCTCCATAAATTCCAACTCATCTTTCCACAAATGCACTCATTATTCTTTCCCATCATCTCAAAACGATTCCTAACCAGTGGGCACGTTTGTCACCTGGAGCTTACTTAGCGATGTCTGCAGATATTTTTGATTTTTCTAACAGAGAGGCCGGGGATGCTGCTGAATACCTGCAGTGTTTAGGGCAGCCCCACCACACTTGCAAGCTGGACAGCTAGAACTGACCTTGGGATCTGTGACTCTGAGCACAATATTCCTGAGATGAAGCCACTGACCTGCTTACAAAAGCTAACTTGCAACTTCCAGAAACTTAAAATGGGTGGAAATAATTTGTAGCCTATAGACACATCTTAGTGGAAAGTCAACTTCTAACAAGAGATGCTAAAGATACCAGGTTCCAAGATACCTGAAAGTGGGTGTCCCTCTTGTCCAGTTTCTGCACGCCATTATTTGAGCATGCGAAGCCTGGTCAAGAGAAAACTTTCCCCATTTACTTTAATAAATCTATAGCAAATGGTTATGCTCACAGTTCTTAAGGCATCTAATCTCACACTGGACCTCCAAAGACACCATATCTAGACGCATGTCATTGTCACAGCAACTAACAAGCCGTATTGTTGTCTCTAGGGAAGGTTATACTCACAGGCTCTGTAGGGAAGGTTATACTCACAGGCTCTGTTCCGGGTTTTATACGTGCAGGTATAGAGACTGCAGGGCCTCACTGCCATGAATCTGGGAACCGGGACCCTCCTCCACAGCCACTTGCAGGGGGACACTGGAAGAATGACTCTCAAGCTATTCAGCAGCAGCATCTTCAGCTTGAAATGCTGATCAGCTGCCAAATCAGGAGCAGGAACCTAAAAACCTAGTGGGAGGAGGGCAGAGGAGGAAAAGCCATAAACAATAGAGGTTGAAAATCGTGTGAAAACCTCTAAGTAGGACAACATTCAGGCTGGCAGTTCACGCCCTGATGTGGGGGAGGGCAAAGAAGAGTCAATAGTTTATTCAGCCCTGTTCTGCAAACCCATTGGTCCTGTGCTGAAAGGCAGGGGCCAGAGGACTGACTCATATAATTTGCCTTTCCCTCGGGGCTGGCAAATATTAGAGGCCCAGAGAAAGGTTGTCTTCGTCCACATGAATAAAAAGATTGCTTCAAGTACAGTTTCTTAAAATTAAAAAAAAATTTACTCCCTGAAATCCCAATTAATTATTCAGCATGATATTTACATGGAGAAGAAGGGGGGAGTGGACTCCAATAATTAAAACTCCCTCCAGGCAGCCTCAATAAAAATAACTGTCTGCTTCTGAATTGCTTTTTTTAAAAAAATAAGCCTAAGATACAACCTGCCAAAATAACCATGGGTGGTTTTGAAATCCAAGCTTAAATACAATCTGTGACTCTTTGCCAGTTTTTGGAGTAACACTATGGCCCTGGAAATTGGGGGAAACGAACAAGATCTCTCTCTCTCTCTCTCTCTCTCTCTCTCTCTCTCTCTCTCTCTTTCCCCTGCTCCCACATTTACTGTGACTCTCAGAAGATGATGCTTTCCAAAGTACTTGCTGTGGGGTCCAGAAATAGTAAGGATATTAACTTTGCGCCCCTCCCTCCTTCCTGTTCCTCACACCTGCTCCGATATTGCTTCATCCACTTTTCCTGAAAACTCCTAGTCCTATACAAGAGAGCAAGCAAGTTCTGAAATTTGTTTTTAATTTTTTCTTGTCTTCATTCACATCTCACTTTTTTTTTTTTT